GATTTATATCCCTTAACAAATTGGACCCGAACCGAGTGAGTTGATTCGATTCTTCTAAAATTAAATATCCGAATGAATACTCCAATCGAGAATCGAAGGATTTTGTTCGGTTCTTGTTTCTAGATCAGTAATTGAATAATCGAATAAAAATCGAATATATCTAAGTACTTAATTTTTTTATATTGAATAAACAAGATTTTTAATTTTTTTACCAATTAACTGAATTAAAGATACGTTTGATTGCGAGTATTGAAATTGCATGGAAAGAAAATTAATTTTAGAGAATTCAATTGTCTATAACTTATTTGTATAGAAATTATTAATTAAAAGTATTTGATTGATTTAGTTTTCAATTTAGAAAATATTATACTTGTCTATTTTTTATTGGTTGTTAGAGGAAGATAGTGGATAGATGGGAGTGAGAAAGAGAGTGAATTACCTGAAAAATAAAAATAACTCATCTTTAAAGAAAATATTTTCTCTATTTTTGAAAAAAATACGGCCACGTGACCAAATGTTAGAAAAATATTTTTCATGGTAAAATCGTTAATTAAACACCCCAAAAGTATAACTTTTGGTGAAAAAATAACATTTTTCATGTAAAATAAAGACAATCAAATATACTCTAAGTGATCATCTGCAAGTACCCAATGCTCAAATTCCCAAGGGTAAAGTCCAACTTGAACCCGAAATATTTTTTCTCACAAATTTCAGCTCAAACTCAATTTCACTTTACAATTCACATAACACTCGCTGATTCTATCGTTCCGGTTTAGTTATTGCCCTCGTATTCAGTCGCTACCCTCTCATTGGTTACAACTTCATATCTGCTCATCAAGATCCACATGGACCACACCTTTAATTTGGACTAAGTTATTTTATAAGAGTGAAAATATAACTGATTGTGTTAATTTAGTATCGTTGTAAATGTTTAAAAAAATTAATTATGGTATGGAAGCGAATCGTTTCGATTTCATAATTAAATTTGGATCTGACGATTCCATTTACTAAATATTCAAAAATTCTAGTTCGATTTTATTATCTTTAAACCGAACCAAATCGAATTCGACTGAACCATGTCCCAGTATAGTGAGTTCCCAGTATAGTGAGTTGTTCTTTTAGTACTTCTTGAATTTCATCTAAAAACAGCTTCTTTGTTTAGAGTCTCATGACAATATTTCCTTCTACTCTTTTTTTTTTTTCTAATTATTTGTTTGTTGACTCTTTAATAGTCCACGAAAAATAGGACAATTTTTCGGAACCCCTTAATCTATATTTTTATATTCCATATCGTAGTCTGCGACTAGTTGGGACGGGGGTGGAGGTTTGCTGGAGCTCAGAGATGAAATGGATCTCCAATAAAGCTATTTGTACAAAGTTGAGTTAAAAAAGTTGGATTACAAAGTGTGTTGGCAAAATCCAAATCGTTGAGTTCAAATGATTTAAAAATCTATTTTAAAATGATTGGTGTAAATGTTATTTTGTCAATCAACTTTGCATATGTAGCATAACTCAATGGATCTCTTCATTTTTTATTTTTTTCAGTTATTTTCATACTTTTTTTTTTTTTTTTTGTTTATTCAAACTTCAAAGAGCAAAATCGACATTTTAAGTTATTTTAACAGAAACTTCGGATGAAAACTGTCATCCAAGACAATCTGCTAACGGATAAGGATACGTGTGCCAAGAAATAAGGGTGGTATAAAGATTAAAAGCAACAATTTACACAAAAATCAATGTAATAATTAAAATCAGACCGAACCAGTTCATTCATTGTTAAAATAATCTCATAACCACCCGGTTCATCTCAATAACCACCCGGTTCATCTCAATGTTAATCGATTCACCATCAAAATTTTCGGTTAAATAAATATTTAATTAATTTTTATCTCCGACTGATGATCTTCGTCGTCTCTCATTACCCGGATCGATATTCTCTATCAATTTTCGAAATACGGGTAAATCTAAATTCTTGTGGTTAAAGATACTT